GATCCTTCCTTCGGAAGTTCCGTAATTTAGGGATTTTCCATGGGAATAACTGAGAGTTAAGGGATTTAGACACTCTATTTATAGATCTAGCTCATACAGGGGCCTTTAGGCCTATAGAGGTGACAACGTAGCCACGGTAGACGGCCACCGTGCGTTACATAGAGCGTCCCCTCGGCCCCTCTGTCGCTTGTGATACGCGGCTCTTTCTCCAACTTCCAGCCCTTTTGCTTGTCGTCGATGTTGTTTCTTTTATTGCTTTTGTTTTCTTTATTGCACCAAACATTGCAGTGAATGTAAGCTCACGTTTTTAAATGGTGCGTTCAATCCTGGAGTCCTTACTCTGCTCCTGTTCTGACTGCAGCTATGCTGCTTAGGTGTGCTTTGGTTTTCGCTGCTGATTGCTGTTTAAACATAGGCTTTTGCTGATATCTTTAATACGGCTTCATTAAGTCGAACAAACGGCGAATAATTCCTCCAATACGCGCTTTACAGGAGACACCGCAGAAGAAATGGTGCGGGCCGAGCAGGGGTTGTTGTTGCTGCTGCTGTTGGCTCTAGCACCCAAGGGCTCTTCTAGTGCAGGGTTAGAAACTGCCCAAGGCACTGGGATGGAGTCTCCGAATCGGGATGCCAGGGACTTCGGTAACAATGGACGTGCTGTTGCAGCGGACCCCTACAATCGCCTTCTTCCTACAGCACCACACCAGAACAACGTTGGATGGGGACAACAGAGACCACCGAAGCTGCAGAAGAAAAGGAATACCGCAGTGATCTCCATAAAAGCGCTGTTACTAACTTTTTTTGTCTTTAGCCAGTTGGAGTCGTTCATACTGGTGCCGAGAATAAAGGAGTTGCAGCGAGAAGCGCGTTTAAAAGGTGATCCTCCCTTGACAGATTTAGACGCATTCAGCCGGCTGGTGGTGAAGTCTAGCCCCATGAGATGGCTAAGTATTTTCTTATACATTGGATTTTGGTCGATCATCTTGTCGTTTGCACCGACCTCTATAGGCGCTGCATTGCGTCGTTTACGTCCTCTATTACAGCGTGCAATAAAATTTGCAGCGGAAAGAGCTCGACAAGCTCTCGAAGGGGCCGGTGCAGAAGAAGCAACAGAAGATATCACAGGATATGACCCAGAAACTGCTCCAGAATACCTCGAGGGAGACGGCGACGAAGAAGCTCCAGGAAATGCCGAGTGAGAAAGCGAAGCACCAGCGGAATGAGGTTAATGTCACGCCCCTCCATCTCAGCTGCTAGATCCCGCATCTAGAGAAACACTTCAATTTCTTCCTAGCTAGAGCCTGCACCTTCAGGTAGCTGGTACACACATACGCGCGAGGTAACGCAGCTAGCTAGCTGCCATGCTAGCTGCCCCAGGTAGCCACTGCGGCTGCTGTTCGAACGAGAAAACCGCAGTGGTTATTGATATTGTTGTGCATGCAAAGGTAAACGAAGCCACACAGAAGGAGTAAATTCCTTGTCTGCCATGTAGCAGGGTATATACCTCCAAGTGAACGTGGTTAAGCGACAAAGCGTGGCGACCCGCGCGCTAGCCTTTGGGGATCAGGGAACGATCCCTGTTGGGACGCCCGGGTTAGACAACCACCCAGGGGACGTTTCCGCGGTATTGTTTGTTCTTTAGTATGTGCTTGGCAGCAGCTGCAGAAACAGGAGTAGCTACTGCAGCACTTCATGGGAAACGGCAATTTGATCGGATTGTCGATATACAGCGGCGACATATCACAACTGATAGCAGCCAGCTAAATACCTAGCGACCTGTAAAGCAAGCTGAATACGTAGCTTATAGCCTATTTAGGTGGCTGGTTAGCTAGCTACGTGTGGTTAACTATCGAGTTTCCTGCAGGTAGTTAGCTGACCACCCCTGTTGCTAAGAAAAGGCTTAATTGCTGCACGGGAAACAATACCCTCTAAATCATACACCCGAACCCTAAACCACCCACTGCAGGAGCGAACTCAGTGGTACATTCTCTTTGATTCGAAGATGGGGGAAATGCCGTTCTTGACACGCAAAACAGCCAAATCCTAGACAGTAAACACTGTACTCCAATTGTCCCTAGGTCAGAAAGCCAATGAGCTGAAACCAATAAGCTAAAACCTAGCTCCCAAGCCCCAAAGCGAATTTTCGTCCATAAACCCGAAACACCTAACTATTTTATCTAACGGACAATCTGCAGCACTGCATGCTTTTTTTCCAGAGGCTAAAACCCTTGGCGCCATTCCTTGGCCCCAAGACTTACAGCTTTAAACGTAAACGCTGAACCTTATGCCGTACGACCAAACCGTGCATGCAGCCGTACACCCTGCATGCCTTCAATGTTTGTATAGCCTTGCGCCTGCCGATGCTGAGGACTTGCTATAGTGTTGGGATATAGCGCACAAGGGACTCCCCACGTCCATACTATTCTGCTGTTAGGCAGCTGCGTCCCCTCGTTCCTCACATGCTCGAGGTGGTCCAACAGGGTTCGTTCGTCTCCTCCGCAAATTCTTCTCTCGTTGTCATTTGCTACAGACCCGGCTATCAAGTCAACCTCCAAGTCGGTTCTTGCTGCCCCTGCTACTGTCTCCGTAGCAGCGGCAACGGAGACAAATTAGGCAAAGGGGGGTCTGCAACATATTCGTGTCCCGAACCGAAAAGGTCTGCTGATGCTGTTTCTGACCTTTCCGCTGCTCCTTCTTCAGATGCTCCTACTGCCCTTGTTGTTGCTTATGATCTCTGTTTCCGTTGTGTTGCTGGTCCATCTGCTCTTGACGATGGTTCAGCTGGTGCGGAGTCTCCTACAGCATCGCCAATTGCACCTGTTGCTGCTGCCTCCACCGCTCGAGCCGTCTTGCTGCGTCGGCTTCCCTGCTGTTGCCAGTGAGTCTGTGCTGCCACCTCCTTACCAGCAGCAGCATCAGTAGAGCAGCTATCTGTTCTTTTGGCACAAAACTTCCCTTTTCTGTTGTGGCTGCAGCATCCAGAAAAACAGAGTGGATACCCGGGTGGCTCCAAGCCACGATGCGACGTTGCCTGCACTGAAGGACGAATTGAAGCCGGTCTTTTAGGTTGATGGAGTACTAGGTACTTATTCCCTACGGGTTAAATGATGACACTCCTCACATGCATTAGTTGGTGCAAATGTTCGCTCCCGAATGATCTTTTTTGGCACGCTTCCCGGTGAAGGGCTTTCGTATTGCTGCCTTACACCGTTTGCTATAAATGGTATAGGGCTTACCAGCTGAGGCTGGCACTAGCCTGCCCTCATTTCAGCTTCAATTAAAACAAGGAAGTGCAACGACAAACAGGCGCTATAGGACAGCTGGAACAGAAGTGATGCTGCTATAGCTATCTTCCGCTGTGGTGGAACTCAGCAGCAGAAGCAGCCGCTACAGCAGCAGGAAGGAGTCCATGTGTGCCTGTACCTTCGTCTGGGTATCAGGCTCGCACTGTTTGTTGAGACCGTTGCAGGGGAATATGGTGCTATTCTCTTTCCGGTCGCCTTTTGTTGTCAGTCTCCTCCATCTCATGTTGTCTGTCTCCCTACGGTTCAAAAGCCGTGGGCCCGACAACATAAGCGTGTTGTTCCTCCATGTCTCGCTGCCGCAATGCCAGCACCTGTCTGGCCAACAACCCGACTTATAGCCCGTTCGCTCGCTAGCTATAATGCACCTAGCTGTTAATTAAAGGGGCAGAAGCGGCATTTAGCGTATATTTACGGTGAATCTTCTCCCAGTTCACAATCCCCCCGCTTCAAAACCTCGTTGAGGTGACTCTACAGCTGGGGCCTCGCCAGTACATGACTGCTCAAAAAGCAAACAGGGACCTTGTACGCGGCGCAAACACCACCGGCTCCGCTCAGGAGAGACCGTGTGGGCAATATGCGCTAACTACTCACACCAGCCAAGTCCCCTCTGCCCCTCTGCTGTCTCCATCAAAATCAGCAGAAGGAAACTGGGGGCTTCTTTGTGAGGGAGGTACCCCAGAGGGCCCCTTGGCAGGCACCTCCCCCGACAACCAACCCCGAAGGGCCCATTTAGCTGCAGTCCCTTTTCGCTGCACAAGCACGTTTATGCATACTTAACAGCAAGATGGATCCCCCAATGCACGACATCTGCTGGGAGGCCCCTTCCCAGGTGGCCTACTAACTAATAGACATGGCCCATCAACTCTACACAGGGAACGCTTGAAGGTTCTGATTACCCTGACTACACTGAGGGGGGCCCTCTCCACAGACACATTATTCGGCGCCAAGAAAGGGGCCCAAGCGAGGGCACCCACAGGGTAAAGCTGGGTACAAGGGGGCCCCTCTAGGGGTCCCTGCTGCTCTTGTCAGCGGACAAAGAAACAAACTACGAGCTGGACAACGGAGGGACCGCTAACAAGCGGCCCCCTAAAAGACAGGGGGCCCTGAATTGCGTAAAGGGCCCCCCCCCCTCAAACAAGCAGATAGCAAACCAAGAGAAGGCAGGGGTCTCCGTGGCCTGCATAACGAAAACGCTGCTTTCAGGGATTTGGAACACTCAAGGGGTCCCAAGGGACTAAGAACAACCATAGAGGCCCCAGTTCGAAGGGCCCCTGCAGGGCCCCCGGGATCTTCTGCCGCACACTGCATCTCATATACCAAATCTAAATGCCCCATATTTCGCGTTTTAGGCAGCTCACGAAGAGGCTGTGTGTGTGAGAGAGGAGGGTCTCTCAAGATATACAAGGGGGGCCTCCTTGAAGCAAATCTGGGACCATGTAAGCTGCGGCTCCCTCTGCTGCTGCTGGGAATGACTCTACACCAGGGGATTTAACGAACTGCATCAGTCTTGCTCTCACAGGGTCATGACAAGGGGGCCATGAGGTTGATATCCCCCCAAGGTGGGCCACTTGGGGGGGACCCTGGGCGCCTCCCTCAGAACGAGATGCTGTCGGTAGTGCATTTATGACAACATTTGTCGCTGGAGACCGTTCCTCTGCTGCTGCTGCTGCTCGGATCAGCAACTGCGGCGGCTGCTGCTGCTGTTGCAGATACCCAGCAGCCACAACCCATCCTGGAGGGTCCCCCCTTAGCTGTGCAGCACCAAACACCCCTAGTGGAGCAGCTGGAGCCCCCCTCTGACCCCTTTGCCTTCGAACGCCTCGCTGGAACAGCCGCTGCTGCTGCTGCAGCTGCTGCCGTTGCTGCTGCTGCTGTTGGTGTTGCCGTTGTTGGGGCTGGCGCTGCCGTTGTTGCTGCTGGCGCTGCCGTTGCTGTTCCTGCTGTTTACGCAGCAGCAACTCCAAATAACATTTCAGGATAACATTGAACTCGCCTGGACGGCCCCTGTGCCCCTCGGGGGCCCCTGAGAAGGGCCGCATAGCAGCTCCCTCTAAATCCGAATTGACAACCTGGAGATGGCGGCATGCTTCCGTTGCCGCTGCTGGAGCAAGACAAGCCCCTTGTGCTGCGTCCTGCAAAGGAAGTTGCTGCAGTAGCTGCTGCTCATGGACACCGCTGCTCCCGCTGCTGGAGGGATCCAGGGACTCCGCCCCCCACACAGAATAAAGCTGTGCCGGCGGGGCCCGCTGAGGGAGACGCTGAATGCCTGAACAGATAGCCTGATGCTGCACCCGAAGAATCGAAGCAGATTCAAAGGCTGCTTCTGTTTCTGGATGCGTGGTGAGGGACCACAGGGGGTCTTTCATTTCTTGAAATGATATGGAGGCTGCGGGGACCTCTATGTGGTTTAGGCTGCGCTGGGCACTGACGGGGGCCCCGTTCTGCTGCCACCCCTGCTGATGCGGTTGCTGCAGCTGCTGTAGCGCCTGATGCTCCTGCTGCAGTGTACGCTGCTGTTGTTGCCGCGCGAAATGCTGCTGCAGCTGTGGGCGGCGTTGTTGCTGCTCCTGCTGGGGTGGCAGGTACTGCTTCTGCTGCCCTGTTTGGTGCTCCAGCATTTGCAACTGCATAGATTGTTGTTGTACTGGGCGCTGCTGCTGCTGCCGCTGCTGCTTCTGCTGCTGTTGGGCCGGTAGCATCCCTTGCATTGCGAAGGCCCAAGGGTCCCCTGACGAGCGCAGAGACGGCAGCTGGGGGGGCCCTCGGTATCCTTTGCTGCCTTCAGAAGCATTCAGGGGGGCCCTTGCAACAGAAGAGGCTGTGGAGGCGGCGGAAAGTAGTGAATCATGCCGTGTAGCTCTGTATGCTGCTGCAGTTCTCTGCCGCTGCTGCGGCAGCTGGCGGGGGGGAGGAGGCCGATCAACCAATGCAAGGCTGCAGAGGGCATCCATGAAATTCAGTGAAGGGACGGCAGAATCATCTGAAGGGCGTTGGGGTACTCCACGCCAGGACACGTCTTGCGGTGACAGCAGAGAAGCACTCAGCGAAGCCCCCACGGGAACCCCTGTGAGGGCCCCTAGAGGGACGTCTAACTGGGCCTCTAGAGAAGCGTCTAACGGGGCCTCTAGAGGAGCATCTAAAGGGTCCTTAAGAGATGCACCTAAGGGAACCTCTAGAGAGGCCTCTTGGTGGGCCTCTAGAGGGCCCTCTAAGCACGCCACTAAAGGACTCTTTTGCGGATTTTCAACCGATGAGCCTAAAGGGACCCCAAGGGGGCCCCAGTTTGCCTGCAGTGCATGTCCTGGGCGAGTTGAGATGAAGGACAACGGCGGCCCCTCCCCCAATCCTATTTGGCTAGCTAGAGATGCGTTCTTGGCATCTTCGGGACCAAAAAAAAGCGTTTCGTCGTGACGGGACCCCTCGTCAAGGGCGCTGCCCTCGTCCTCAGAAAGCCGCGAGAGGCCCTCTTTGCTGAGACGCTTCAAGCATTGTATGTCTCCGTCAAGCTCAGGGGCTCTCTCCTGAGCAGTGGGGTGTACTCGGGGAGGCTGCCCCTGCAATCTCGGAGGGAAAGGGGAACCCTCGTCCTGAGGTCCCTCTAACTTGGGCAGCAGCGGAGGGCCCCCCCCACCGCCATCGAAATCGTCACTTTCAGGTGTTTGCGAAGGCCCATGAGATCCCACATCAGGAGGGGGCTCCTTTAGGGGCCCCCCAGAGGCATGTTGATGCAACTGGGGAGACATCGGAAGAGCAATGGTAGTCCCCACTTGATCTAGGCTCGACTGTTCGGACAGCTGCAGCAGCAGCAGGAGGGAAGGCGACAGAAAAATAAAAGTACCGCCAAGCCCTAAACCCTAAACTATACACCCTAAACCCTAACAACACACAGGAAAGCGGGCCCCCACAACGAAAGGGACACGCGCTCGGGCTGGGTTCGCGAGAGGAACGCAGGATGCATCGTGGCGGTGTGCATCTAAACCCTAAACACTGAACCCTAAACCATATCGAAAACAACAAGCAGATAAAAGCCCTTCAGTCACTTCAAGAAAACACCCACAGCCGGCGTATGCATCCGCTTAAGAGGGGCCCCTCCAGCTCGCCGGGGTGACGCTGCAGCCACTACTGCGGCGGCTGCTGTTGTTCTGATGCTGAAACTGCAGCTGATCCAAATGTCTGTTTTTGCTGCACAAGCCTCTTGAACTGAAGGAATTTACGAGCAGTTAGAAAGGGTTAGAGAGGAAATTGAGGCATGTGATACAGAGACGTGCTGGGGACACGCCAGCGAGCCAGCTACACACTGTGCCCATGTCTTATCACTAGTGACAATGCTACCGTTGTTTACTGTCTCGAATATAACTAACAGCAGTAGTACTAGTATTGTTTACTGTATCTAATAATACTGCAACTATTTGGAGTTTTCTCACTGTCTGCAATTTAACACGGGTGACACTATGAAGGCTGTTAAACACACATGGTGGTTGCTTACTGTATCCACTGACGGTACTGGCAATACTGCGGTTGTTCACTGTCTCTAAGAACACTTGCCACGATATATGGGCTGTCAACTGTCTCCACTAGGGCTAATCATAACGGGAACGTCGCCGTAGACTGCCACAGAGTCAAATACTTTGTAAGAGCTCGCAACAGGCAGATGTCCCGTTCCCCACCTTAACATATTGCGCCTTGGAACCAGTGCCCGAAGCGCCGTGGGCTGTGCGAGAGGAGGTTCAGTAATGAGAGCCCTCGAGCATACATAAGGACTACTGTGTGCTGTAGTATAACAAATTACGAGCTCGGCGAAGAACAGCTGACCTCACTCCCAAATCCAGGCGTCCTGGGCGCAGCAGCACCACAACCTGAAGGTTAGAAGGTGGATGCAGGATGCAGTTTATCAAGAGTTACGACGCACTGCAACCCATGCCTTAAGATAGCTCCACATACAAGCACAACCAGGTAGTTCCACATACAAGCACACCAGGTAGCTTTTGCAGCACTCCCTAACAACGCCGAGAATTGCTGACTGCTTATGCTCTGCATGCATGCTCCCCACTTGCGCGCATGCCTCCTACTAAAAGCCGAGTAAATGTTCATTTGCCACCTGTGGACGGACAATGCTGCATCTGCCGCCGCTGACGCAAGCACAAAACCCGTATGTGCCCGTTGCACCCGCAAGATGTAAGATGGCTGCACTGCGATGTGATACCCAATATATCCTTAATGGACAAGTGGAAGGAGAAGCGACGATAATATCGAGAGGAAAACGATATCCTCGAGGAAATGAGACGAAACGAAGCAAGCGACTAGCCAGAAAGAGCCACTGGGAAGTAAGCACACACAAATCTGTCGACAACGTCCAAAAAACGGGGAGAGTTCTCACGAACGTTGGGTGCCTGCGCCTGCTGCCTCTAAGCAAACGAACTCTGGGAACCTGAGACGGTCAGTCATTAGACAACTACACGGCCGTGTGTTCTCCTCTGTCAATTGAATAACGGCAAGAGACTGCGGCACTTTCACACCAAGCAAATGCAACTAGACCAAGACTGCGGCACTTTCACACCAAGCAAATGCAACTAGACCAAAAATATCAACCCATTTCAAAGGAAAACAATTGTATTCATAGATGGCTCAAGCAGGTTTCCTCTCCACATCCGTCATCGGAGGAAGTACGTGCAGGAAAAAAATCACAACACAGCACACACACACGCATGTATGTGTCTATATTTTGACTTATATTTAGATGTAAATGCGTATGTATGCATATATACAAGTATGTGTATATAAGTGAGCTGTACTGAAACGCATATGCGCGCATGCGAATAGTAAAGGCTTGCGTCCATCTCCAAACGTCCGCCAGTGAAAAAGTATACAGATACACATGAACATGTATGTATACGCATATAAATGTTCGTATAAATGTATGCAGGGACGTATGCAAGTGAATGCCTGCCTGCCAGCAAGCGTTCGTTTTTAGGCGGTTTGGGGTCCCTACAGGTCTTGCGAAAATTTGCCTACTGCTGCGATGGGTCCAATGTACCCCCGGTTGCTTCTAACGAAGGCAAGTAGAAGAGAGCTGCATGCACAAAACCTTGAGACACTGTCTCCTTGTTCAAGGTACCAGATACCTCAAACGCATGCTTTTAAGGTTGCTCTTGTGATGGTGTGCCCTTTCACCTGCGCCGCCACACAGTAGTCGAACAGCTAGAGAAACCGCCGGCAAGAAGAGGCAAAATAAATATTTTGCCACTGATTGCTATGTAGTTGTTCTGGAGATTCCTCCTGACCCCAAGCCAAGGCCAGAGATACATCACAGATAGCTGCTTGACACCTCACTCAACGGTAACCGTTGATCCCCTAGACCCCTGCACATTCCAGGCATTCCATGCAACGGCAGCAGGGCTTCAGCCTTTGTTGTTGCTGTCTCCTTCTTAGGGCTACCTGAAAACACAGGGGGTACCTCCAGCTCCCTTTGTGGCCTCCTGCCAATTAACGTTGCAGCTTCTTGTATCCCAAGCCCCCACAATGCACCGCTAGAGACGGCTTTTCAATAGTTGATTCGCCAATCCCCACTGCATATGTGCAGGCAGTCAATGCAACTATGCCTGTTTTGTAGTGTGTTCGTTTTAGGGCACCAGCTGGGAGCGCAGGAACGCTTCGTCGTCTTCTCTCCACGGGTCCCACTGAGGGCCCCTGAATCTGATGGGTGTCAAGGGAGACAGAAAAAGGAGTCTCTTGAGGACAAGAACTTCTTTGTCCTCCGGTCTTTTTCCAGTTTTGTAGACTGCCAGGGCCTCTAGGAGGCGGTTTGCGAGGACAGTGCTAAAGATGGCGCGCCTGCGAGGGCGGTTGCCGGAGCATTGAAAGGAATAGTCGGTTCTAAACATGGAAGCGAATCGTCTCCACCAGAGGTGGAGTTGCATTGCGTCTCCCAAGACCTGCACAGCGCAAATAATGCTGTCAAACACCAGGAAGCGCATGCCCAGAGCAGGTGCTGCAGCAACAACTTTCAAGTGCCTTGAGGAGAAGCGCGCCTTGCGGAAGATCCCGTTCGCCATGATCTCCACACAATACATCAGCGTGTCTGCTTCCTCTTGATTCAAAGACGCCCTCTTCAGAAGCTCACGAACAACTAACAACTGTGCGTGTGCTGAGAACCCCCGCCGCATCTGCCCAAACACCACTGCGGGGTTTAGCTTGCGGGGGACAACATTGGGTTCTAATGCAGGTAGGTGCAAGTAAGGGTGTTGCTGCACGTCTAGCCCACTGCTGCGAGTCTTCACATCTTCCACGATGCTCATGCTGCTGCTCATGATACTCGTGATCGTGCTGCCTCTCTGTGCCTTGCTGCTTCCCGAAAACCTGCTGTTACTTCTGCTGCTGCTGCTCACCGCTGCCTCGCACGCCTCCTCGTCTGTCTCCACCTCCTCACTGTCGTCAGGCACCAAGCTGCTGGGGCCTTCTCTGCTGCTGCTGCTGCTGCTCGAAGCCAGCGGGTGCTCAGTAGATGTCCTTGCTTGCCCCGAACCTTCCTGTGCTCCAAGCTCCTCCTCGCTGTCTTTCCCCTCAAAGCTCCCACTCGTCTCAATCCAGTCATCAGGTCTCAACGAAAAAGCGGCTGGCAGTGTTTGCTCCACAACGCTAGGTGGAGCTGCCCCTGCACCTCCAGGGTGGACAGACAATTCCACCTCCAACCCTCTCAGCTGCTGCAACGAAAGCGAAGATGCAGGCAGCCAAGCGTGAGCAGAAGAACCAGGAGCCTCGAACCCCTGTTGTGCAGACGTCTGCTTCAATGCAAGGGGAACAACCTCTGGCTTGCTTGGGCGTCCACTCATCTCTAATTCAAAACGCGAATGTCCGTCCCCTGCAGTGGACCTCGGCGCGACCACCTCAGGGTGTACAGGCAATTTTAAAAACACATCGTCAATTGAACCCTGATTCGCGTATAAAGGCCTGTGAAGCGCAGAATGTGTTGACACATCCAAACTAGGCTGACCCTGCTGCAGCTGCTCTGGCCCGAGGTAAGGCTGCTGCTGCGGCCTCAGGTGCAGATTTCCCTGCACTGAAGGCAGCAGCTGCTCCTGCGGCATGCGAGCTTCTCCTAAGTGGAACACATGCTGCAGCCCGTTGTGCTGCTGCTCCGTACCACTTGGGGGCTGCTCTACAAAGGGGGTCTCCACACGCACTCCCACATGCAGCCCCCCCTGCTCCCCAAAGGGACGGTGCTGCTGATCCCCCAGCTCCAGTTGCTGCTGCATTCCTAGCAGCAGCAGCAGCTGCTGCGCCTCCAGCTGCGGCACATGTGGCGCCCCCATGTGCGGTTGTTGCGCTCCTAGATGCACCTGCTTCTGCTTGTCAAAAGGTGTCTGCTGCTGCATCCCCATGTGCAGCTGCTGTGCCCCCAGTTGCCGTTCCTGGTGTGCGCGTACTGGCAACCGCGCCTCCATGGCTGCCAGTTGCATCTGCTGCGGTCCCCCCCGTTCCAGTTGCTGCTGTTGCTCCGTTTGCAGCTTGTCACAATCCCTCAGTTTCACCTGTTTCTGAGCCCGCAGGTGCAGGTCCTCCTGCTGCCCTGGGTGCAGCAGCTGCGGTAGCCTTGTCTGCGCACCCACCTCTAGTTGCTGCGTTACAGGGAACTGCTGGCCGTGGCTCCGCTCCAGCATACAAGGAAGCTTCTGGTGCTGCTGCATGCCCTCATATGTTTGCATTGAGGTCGAAGGCCCAGCGACGCATGGCGAAAAGGGCACCGCTCCCTGGTCGCCCTGCAACTTCCGTTCAAAAGCTTCGGCCTCTGCGTGCAGCATCCATGCAAGGGCTGCAATTTGCTCTTCAGGGTCTTCTGCAGCGTCTTGATGTTGCTGCAGATGCTGTGTTGGAATACCCATCTCTGCCTGGAGAGCCATGCATTCTTCTAAGAGCCGCGACCGAACATGGTTTGTCCTTCCGTTGTTCTGGGGTCCGTTGTCATCTTGGTCGCCTGCCAGGCGGCGAGGTCCCCCAACACCTACCTGTTCCCTGAGCGCTGGAGGCCTGCATGCAGCGAAGAGTAGCACGAGTGCGAGCAGCGGCAGCGCAGACGCAAAGGAGACGAGATGAGATCGCCGTCGGGGGGGCCTTCGGAGACTCCCGAAGGCCGACCTTGTTTGGGACGAAAATTCCGAAAGGGCAGCAGTAGAAAGCTGTTTCCTCTCCGCTGAAGGGGTCTGGGGGTCGTGGTCAAGCAGCTGCTCCCCCGTCTCCAGCGCATCGGCAGCAGCATCTGCAGCAGCATCTGCAGCAGCACCTGGCGGCATTCGCTCGTCTGTGCCCTCCAGCGGGCAGAAACGAAGAAGAAAGCAAATAAAATAAGAGGCAATATTCAAGTAAAAAGCCTATAATCAACGACAAAGAAGACAAGAGAGCCGCAGCCATTACACGCAGGCGTATCACTGGCGATTTACACTGCTTCTCCAATGGTACTTTTGGAGGTGCCAGAAGACCCAGATGCGAGGGCCCTGTGGGACCTGTGAAAGAGCTTTTCTTGCCCATTTCTGAATTCTCCCTCGTTTAAATTAGTATTTAGTTCATATTTCATGCAAAGCAAAATGAAATTTGCAAGCCAAGTACATCAAGGTGTCGGCGCCAATACATCCCAAGACAGGGAGGACAACAAGGGATCTGAGGAGCTGTAGAGTAGTTGTTGCCTCTTGCAGTTTTCTCAGTTTTATTCACTTAGTGCAGTTAAAATAATACATCAGTTCCTTTTGTGTAGCAATAGAAGCGTCCACGTTAGTGGGATCAGCAGGCTGTCGGTCTTTTAGAAATCGAGTCTGCCCTTGGTGGTCTGCTATCCATTTCTTGGCTGCATCTCCAGAGGGTCGTTTCAACTTGTTTATATATGTTTCGTCATATTAATATAGTGGTTCTGTTTGTTTGCTACCCTTGCCCTTCAAGTCTCCTTTTGTTTTTGCCCTGTTACCCTCGGGCTCTCCCTTCGTCTCCTCAAAGTGTCTTCGCAACACACTCACCCTATACATATCTGTCTGTGCATAGTTGCTTCAGTTTGTGCCTCTCTGTGCACTCCTTACCGAATTTATATAGTGTTTTCCTTAATTGAAGAGGCACTCTCCACAGGATCGCTGCTGGCTGTATCTGCATGCTCTTTGTGTCCACAGGCTTTGGGACTTCAGACAGTCTGAGCACATCTGTCACCCAATCTTGTTGGAACGAAAACAGCACAAAGTATTGTGTTACTGCACAGACTGCATGCAAAGTTGCTGCAGCTGTTCTCCCATTCACGATCCTCCGTTATCAAGGGGGGTGCATGTTGCTGAGGGGGAAGAAGGATTTCCTATTCAATATATATTA